AAGCAAAATAGGTTGAATTTTATAAACATGTTACATTTAAACGTAATCCAAAACACGCAGATAGTAATATACCAATATTTTCCTACATGTAAAATACTATATTTTTTTAATGTTACTGCTTACTAATAATTTTGAATATAAGCTCTAAATATTTTAAAACCCAACCTTGACAGGAATAATAATAATAACAAAGCACATTTTTTTATAGTTATAATCTAATATACATATAAATTGTTTTGTAAAGTTAATGCATACTATTGTTATTATGTGTTTTAGGCCTTTCTACCCTAAACTGTACAATAATTCTCAAACTTATCCTAAGCGTCCTTTCTACACGACCTCCTCCGTCATCTTAGTATAGAACACCAGCTCTCATATCATTCTCAATCGCGTTCCACAACCATCTTTTCGGTCTTCTTTTTTCTCCTACGTTTATTCGTACTGCCATTTTTACTACTTCTCTTCATAATATTATGTCCAAATCATCTTAGTCTATTCTCTCTCAGTGTGTCCTGTATCAAAGCCTGTATGCGGCTCATCTGCCTATGCATACTCTCTACTTTGGAATCTCAAATTAGCTTACTCGTTCGGTCCCGTCAACCTCTTGTCTTCTTACTCCAAACACATATTCTATACAATACTCTGTTTAGTTTGTACACAATCTTAGTCCCTTTTCTTCGAGTGCCGTTTCCGCTCCTCGAGCTTATTATGTTAACTTGTTCCGGATGTTGAAACAAAATCAAAAATTACATACCGTCTCCACATATCGCATTAACGACGATAATATATGATACGCAAATTGCAATTACGATCCTGTGTAGAGTAAAGTATAACACGTGATGCCACACATTGTACTCAATTCCGGGTAAATTAAACGAAGCCGTTGCAAGTACACTGATAACAATCAATAATTGGGAAATAAAATAGCCAAATGTCTTCTTCCGCTAAAAAAAAATTACAATTAAATATTTACAAAGTAGCTTAAAAGTTAAAACTGTAATGCTATTCAAAACAAGTATAACATTACTCACAGCGGATATTTCGACACCATCGCGTTTAAGTTTTGTATATATGTGTGCCGCTGCTATTCCAATCAGGTATGTTGAATCCTCTGGTGACTCTTAATGTATACAAGATTGACATATGGGTCATTTGAATAATTCAACACTTCCCTAAAATTTCGAATTTTGTTTAAGCTATAAATTATATTGATTTTTATAATTTTTATGTTTAGCATCCTATATTGTTAACAATATGTCACTATTTGACGTTTAGGTAGCAACGTAAATTGGTTTTCAATTATTGGTTGCGATTTTAATTGGTGAATTATTAATTTTAGTACCTATATGAAAAAATTCCCGTTATATTATTTGTGTAAATCGTCATTGCCGGTATGTAAATAGATGCTGCAAACATTATGCCTAAAATCCAAAGGCCAATTTTTTGCCATTTCCATATTGCATACGTTATAAGTGCTCCGATTGCATAAAAATGTACTTCGCAGTTTACAGACCATGAAACAATCATACACTGAAAAAGTAATTATTTGATAAAAAAAATACATTCCACAATATATATATTATAAGTAATGGTTTTTTAGCTTTGATGCGATTAGCAGCGAGGCTATTGGTTTTACAATCATGTGGTCTTTTATGTGTACATTGTAACTTAATCAATACTGGACCAATTCCTTCAAGTAGCAACTCTATAAATCACCAATTTTATCTTTGTATTTACTATGAAAGGAGGTAGAAATTGTTTACTTCTTCACAACCGGCGTTCCGTCAAGATAAAAAAAGAACAATATTTTGATGAATACAATTTCAATCAATAAAACTTTCAAATTTAATTTTCCTGGTACATTTTAATACGATTAAATAAAGAAGCCAGTACAGTGGGGTCAGAGCATAGTGGGGATGGAGAATAGTTTGACTGGGGCAAAGTGGGGACGGGGAGGTCTCAGATTTACAGGAATTATTACAACTGAAAGTGATAAAATCACTTTTGAATAAACGCTTCGAGGCGAATCAGTAGTTAGTATTTTCAAACCAATAAAGTTCAAACCAAACACAATATAAACCAGCACTGTAAACAAGTATTAAAGTGAGGTGCAGTGTTTACAAATTAGCTTCAAAGCGTTTATTTGAAAGAGATTTTATAACTTTTATTTAAAATAATTCATGTAGACCTGTGACTTCTCCGTCCCACTATGCTGTTATCTCACTATACCCGACCGCACTATACTGGCTTTTTCAGAAGAATTTTATCATTTTCAGTTGTAGAGGTTTGATTTTAACTTTATGTAAGTGAGTAATTCATCACAAATTACTTATGTGATTAAATAACACGGTGTTTAATTAACCCTAATACACTAACGAAGGGGGTTATTAAAAACTAGAGAGTATAATATTATAACTATTTTATTCATCTTATAATATGTTTCATTACCTTATCTCCCAAATTTTCTGAGTAAGTATCAATAAATAAAATTTTTTTCCACCAATTCTTGCGACATTTTTCGGCCTCCGAGACTGCGTACAATTTCCTAAGTGGCCCATCTGCCATGTAAGGTAACAATCCGACAAACAGCAATAAGACAATTATGTCTACAGGCAGAAGTCTGAAAATTAATTTTAAAAAAATATTATTATAAAAGCAGTTAAAGAGTTTTTCTCAAACTTGTTGTGGGTGAATGAGTATTATCAGTTTTTAAACACTCTAGCCTCGAATTTCATCACATAAAATTAATAATCGATACTATTAAACTTGTGTTCTAAGTTACATGTTAATGACAAAAAGAACCAAGTTGTATTTATTTTAACATAAACCTACCTCGCAATTCTATAAAAGAATAAGTAAAAAATATTAAGTTCTCTGTTTTTATTCAATCGGTTGGTTACAGTAATGTGCATAAAAAATCCTGATATTACAAAAAATATTTCAACAACAACGACTAAATTCATCCAACTACGCCGAAAATTTGTCGCCACCTAAAAATACAGTAAAACTGCGTTATTCATTGGTAAAATATTATTGACAAAAAAGAAGTGAATTTTAATTTGATAGAAAAACATTTTTTAAATGGTAGGTTAGGTTTTATTATGCATCATGGTGTAGTAGATTTGACTTTCATTAATTTATTGTCAAGCCACAGGGGCTGCTTATTATATTTGTATAAAAAATGATTACCGGTTTAATTAGAACTCGAGCAATAGAGACTACCAGAGGTGGATCTATTAATGATAAAAGGGAGGATCCAGAAAAAAATATATTTAATTTAATTAAATTTAATTGCTAAGTGTATACACCAGTCAAGCATACACATTGTACACACTAAACACTTGTGCAGTTGACCCCACCTAATTCCAGTAGAGTTTAATACAGCATCACACACTTGGTGTGCACAATATGGTCGTAATATTACATTGTGATGCTGTATGAATCAAATTAAAATAAAACATTGTTATTACGTTTTCCATAAAGTAAGGAGGTACTGTTGCATTCAATGGTATAGTAAAAAAAACTCTATGAATGCCAATTATAATGATCGCACAAAATGTTTTTAGTCCATTAGTAGCAGCCAAATCATTTTCTTTTGGTTTTTGAAATACTTTATTAATGCTCGTCCTTATAGAAAACGACAGTAAAATAGTTTCTATACGAAAAATTTGATAGTAACAACATTTATTGCAATTAATTCATTGTTCAGTAGATTTATAAAACTCACTTAGAATGGGACAATTAACATATTGGTTACCAATAACGTTCATTTCTAACAAAGTGCCAAATATGTTAAGTAATATTATCAGAATCAAAATCAAGCTATAAAATAGTACATAGTGTGTTAATTATATAATTTATAAAAGGGAGGGGATAAGGGGGCGATAAATGGTAATTAGGTTATATTTAGTGGATAAATTTAGATTAGTATAAAAATAGAGGTAGCTTTAGTTTCAACAAAAACCATTTACCAAAAAGCAATTAGGTAACCATCTGTGTGTTCTGCATCAGATATTCTATTTGATGTGTATAGAGCAGGATTAACAGAAACTTTGACCGATACATTATAACGTTGAAATGTAGGCGTCAACAATTCTTCCACTGATATCTGTACGTCTTGGGCATTACAAGAGTCTGGGATGCATAGTGCCCAATAAGTGTTATCTATCTGATGATGTCTTGAAAAATTGCCAACTGTCTAAAAAATTATTTAATTTCCACATTGAGGATAAAACATTTTTTTTTAAGTTATAAAAGTTTAAAAATAAGGATAGGAGGGAAAGTGCGGTTTGGAAGTGCGCGCAGATAGAAGTAATACTAAACTCCACTACTCTTCCTGCCCTAAACTTGAAACTTTAATAAGTTTAAAAATATTTGTCCAAAACTGGTTACCGACCAGTCAAAAATTTTAGTACATTGTTCTCAATTTAAAAAGTTAATGAAATGTTTGCGTTACCATATTCAAGTTTAAAAATTGTATGTAAAAACTAAAAATTATTAGTTTGGGAGAAGGTTACGAATATCAACATTTGTGAAAACTTGAGATATCATTATTCTATGTGTAAAAACTATATAAAAAATAAATAAATTTAAAAAAAACTTTTTTTAAAAACGGGCTTTTCTAAAAAATAATTTTACTACAATAACAATTTACCAATCAAACGTAGTACATTTTTATTTAAAATGTCAATTACGTGGATAACCACTCCAATTTTAAATAATGTTAAACATCTAATATTTTTGACTGAAAAGAAAAGCGTTGGCCCTATTCAACAAAGTCCTTATTAAATTTATCAAACATCATTTCATATATTTTATGAAATGATTTTATATCTCAAGTATTTTTGTATTTTCAATTTAAGTGGACCTAATAAGTTTGCTGTAAACCGTTTTTAAGTTAAAAGCCCATAGAAATTGGGCGGAAACTTGAACAAAATTACTTTTAAATATTCCAATGCAGATCTTTCGTTATTTTTTATTTCGGACGAATAGCCATTTACCTGAGAAGTTCCAAACCGAATGTTAGGCAGAACATACGCGCTGTACATGTTTAACTCTTTTGATTGCGCTCTCAAGCACTGATCATAGTGTCCCATTTCATATGTAATACCAGTTAAAAGGCCGCCGGGATATTTGGCTGAGGAAGCATACACTAGAAACAAAATATTAAACTTTTTCAATTACAAATCATCAATTCTACCTACTCGTACATTGTTGTTATCAGAAGATTTTAACTTTTCTTAATATGTAAATTCAATTTTTTGTGTAAAGCTATTAGAAACGTGTTTTTTTTAAATATAAGTTAAAATAATAAAAGTGTCATCAACAGTTTAATAATGTATTTATGGAAAATTATACGTGACGATACTCACTCTGAACAGCCCACAAATCTTGCTTAATCAAATGTTCCTTGTACAGATTTCCATCTTCAGTACACTTTGGATTATCGTGTGAATAAGGCGTGAATCCTTCCATTAGCATAGCAATCATATGACCTATCCATATGGTACTATTGGAATTGTTCCCGATGTTAAAAAGGTTATGTTCCATTTCACACTCATGGTACTTATGAATTGGTTTGGACGATGTTGAGTAACTATCAGTATTTTCTGAACAAGCAAAAGACGCTTCAGAACTATGATGTATTGTTTGGAAGCATATGGCAAATAACAATATCAAACGTGTTATCATTTTCTGTGAAAAACTAAGAAAAAAATTGATTATACTTATGACTTGATATAGGTATAAACGAAACTGGAATCACACCACTTAAATATTGTAATTATTTAAAACAAAATGTTTTGTCATATTATTGTATTTACTTACTTGTATGTACTTTCTATTAATTTGAAATGTAAATTAATTTCTATGTGTATGTGTATATATATATATATATATATATTATATAATACTAATAATAATATTATAATATATATTTGCACTGTATTAGGAATACGAGTATATAACAAAATAACTCTGTGTACTTACAATGCCAACTAGTCCAAGCTGATTGTGATATGTTTTTTTAAGCATGCTAAAATAATTTAACAGTCTACTTTTATCTTAATATAAAAGTGGACGATTAAAAATAATTGTGGGATACAATCATTTTTTTTTTACTTAATTAGCATTGTTCAATGTTCAATCAATTATCATTAAATGATGACAAATTGACGGAAAATTATTTTAATAATATTATGTTATAAATTACTACATAATATGTCTGTGTGAAAAAAAGTATTGCATAATTTACATGCATGCCATAGGCGCACGCAGGAAATTTTGCAGAGAGGGGCATAATGAAATCAAACACCAAAAAGTACATAAGGAACGCAAAAGCCCCCCCCCTCCGGGCGCCCATGATTCATGATGACATTATATTTACCATTATAATACATATACTATTACCCATTGTTTAAGTATAACGCTTGCAAATTCAATAAAACATTAGTATTAAACATTTATAAAGATCTTCGTAGTTCTTGAAATTACAAACTATTCTTAAAAAAAGTTTTTGGTCATAAACATTTAATTTAAGGCGTTTATAGAACTTGACTGGGTGTGTGTTGCGTGTGGGCTCTTTGTCAATATGTTTAAAGTACAATAACATAACCTATACCAGAAATGTGTAAGATTGTCCGTGTGATATTAACATAAATCTGTATTATCGGCGATCCATTTAATGTAAGACTTTGATGTTTTTTTTGCCTTAGTCCAAATTATATACATTTTACACTATAACGTTACTAATTATTTCAAATTAAGTTTGAATTACTTTTTAATATTATACTATTATTAAAATAAAAAAAATGAATCACAAACTTTTATTTCTTTAACTATACTAAATAACTAGTTGGAAATAAATAGCTGAGTGAAATATTAAAATAGAGCATAAACCACTTTAGAAAAAACTTTACACCAAAATATTCATATTTATTATTCCTTACTGGTTATTTTAGGTCTTTATATATTGCTTCGCGACGATTTTAATCAAATAAAAGTAATATTTTCTGTGCGGTGATTTATCTGTATAATAACGCTATATGTTTAAGATCTACAATTATATTGTTATAATATTTATTTTCTTATTTCCAATAAATTTACAAAAACTCTTCTCGGTTTTATAATTGTAATAATATTGCTAATTATAATAACTTTATAAATTAATTAAATACATTTTGTTAATCATAGTATAATGACAGTAATAGGTTATTATTAAAATAGCTAATTTTATTATACGCATTTCAAGGTAAGAGTAACATGGACTACATAAGATTACAAGGATAACAATTTTAAAAAATTTTATCAAAATGAAATAACTATACTATAAGACAGTAAAAATTAAATTACATAATATAATAGGAGAATATATGCAGAATTTAAATTTTTCAATTACAGCGATAGCCCATTAAAATTAGCATTTCACCTCGGAAAAATTCATATCAAGCAGAATTTTGGAATATAACTTTATAACGCTGTTCATAAGCCCTTCTCCCCTAGAAGGGATAGAAATGTTTTTTTTTTCATTTTATTAAGCATAATGTTAGGGATTTAGGTGTGAAAATTAGACCAAAGGTAGACACGAGTGATGGGAATCGGAAAATTCGGATTTTTAAAATAAAAACTTATTTAAGCCGCTAAAAAATATTATAAATATTATTGCAATATAAATAGCTGTGTACCTACGTGAAACATATTATTACATCGTCATTTAGAATACAGATATACTGATAATTATTATTTTTTTATTTAATTAAAGTTTTATGAGGTATATTATTATATAAATATTCATCACCAAATATTTTACCCACTAGCCACTAAGTATAATACATCAAGGTTTCTCTTCTTGTGGTATGCTAAAAGCTATGAATATAATTAATATATGCAGAATGATTCAAAAATAATAAAAAATATTGCCTTATACTATATTATGTTATAAACTATAATAGCGGAAATAAAGGGAGACTTAAAGAGACGTCCCAAATTATTTCTTTAGCATCTTCAAATTTGTTCTTGTTATCCGTTACAATTGAATGTGAAACGTGAAAAATTATTTGTGCGCAAAAAATATGTAAATTATACAGGAATTCAAAAAGTTTAAAGACGGATAATTTTTTGAGCCATTATTGATTTTTTTTCAAATTTCGACTTTTGGATGCTAGTAGACGTTATTTTATGCAAATTTAAGTCTTAAATCCAAAATCTTACCTCAAGTAAGAGGTAACATACTATGTATGCACATAGTTTGTGCATGCGTGGTAACAACTTTTAAAATTTAAATGAGAACCCCTATATTTTTTTGGATATTCTGTTAGCAATTAATATTTTTATACAAAAATATTAAAACCACTTTTTAATACCATTCAGTTTTAAAGTTATTGCTATTTAAGGTTCATGATAGTGCTCTATTCAAACGAAAATGTATTATGTGGGTGAAAACATGTACTATTTTGTGGTTTTTAATATTCAATTGGATAAACTATCTTTAATTCAGTGTAAAAACCATACAATAACAAATTTAAAAGAATTACACCTGTAAGTTATTTAAATAAAAATAATATTCTTTATGTATTATTCTTTTTTAATTTTGAGATTATCATTACCAGAAATAGTACTTTCTACACCATGCAAAATTTAAGTTGCAGCAAAAATTCAAAACTAATGTTAATACAAACATTAGTTACTATTAGTATAAATACTTCAGACCAACCTTTTAAAACAATATTTTATGACTATGCTCATAATGTAATTTTGTTCATAGAGTACAGTTTATCTTAAATGGAGAATAAGTATGTTCATACTAAAAAAATTGTGAGAGGGTGTGCACAATGGACTTGTAGGTCTGAGTGCATGGGCCCATTCTGGGCCCACCCGTTAACTAACTAAAACTAAATCTAAAACTACTAAAAAAATTAACTGTCCAAATAATTTTTTTTAAATTTATTTTATACCAATTTATAGTATGGAAGTAAGATGATATTTTTTTATCATATTAATTTAAATAACATAAAGTCTAAAAGTTATTTGTTCCTATTATAATATAAAATGAAAATATTTAGTATTTTCATTTCTCAAATGTAGAAAATAAAAATATTTCTGATTAAAATAATAATGGGTACTCACTTTTATAACATTTGTTCAGGTTTTACAATCAATATCTTATTCATATGTGTACTAAAATTAATATAAATTTGTAAACGTCAATTAACAATAACCAATAGGACAAACTGTTCATATCACCAAAACATTTTTAATATGTAAGTTATAACATGTAAAATCATAATTGCACTACGAGTATTAAATAAACACAAAATAGACACTGCACTTCAGAAAATATTCTACAGTCAAACAAAAAAAAATCAAATAGGTTATGTTAAACAAGAAATAATTGAGTCGATCCTATCAAACCGTTCGCACTCGAAGATCTTGCTGCTGCCAAAGTGATTCAGGGACTAATTTAATAGCAAAAATTATAATTATTTAATCTCATTATATTGTTTTAATTTATTTAGTTATTATGGTAATAAATAATAATGTAATATAGATAACTATTAAAAATAAATGTTTTAGATTCCGAAATTAATCGTGATTAGTATAATCACAATAAAATAAAATGATTTGTAATGCATAACAAATAAAATTTCAACTTAAGTATCTCAAAAGTGTATAAATAAGAAAATGTTATAAAACTATAATACAATCAACAAGTCAAAATGTAATAATATTTAATGCCGCATCATATCAGAGCTGATAGGATATGAACCCTGAACCCATAACAATTTACATATAATAACCTGTCAGCCGTCTCTTAAACGATAATTTATGATCGATACGGTGTAACGGTGGTGTATTGATACGGAACTGCAATAACGTTGCAAGTGAAAGCTAAAAAATTTTGAAATTAAAACACTTAAATTAGCACGACATTTTTGACAAGTACTTTGTGTAGTAAAAAAAACAAATTTTTATGAAACGCCATGTTAAGAGGGCGTCGCACCGACCATTTTTAAGGAGTAAAGTATAGGCAATTTTTTACAAAATCTTAATTTAAAGGTTAAACTGTGATGTGTAATTATTGGTTCAATAACTAGAACTCTATTTTGGTAGTTAATTTATTTTTTGGACTATCACAGCATCCATGAAAGCGATTTAAAAATGTATAAATAACTCGCATAGTTTTAGATTTAGAGTAAAAGCAACCATAATAAAATTAAAAGAGAACAATATTTCGGAGGGCAAAACGGTGCGTTTTTTTCATTATTCTAAGTATAACGCTCAATACATAGTTTAGAAATAACGACTATTTTAACATTTTTAAATGACTGTAACTTTCCAAAAAATTATTTTTTTTTAAAAACGCACTGTCTTGCCCTCCGGAATATTGTTTTCTTTTAATTTTATTATGGGGGCTTTTACTCTAAAACCAAAACTAAGCTTGTTATTTTCAGTCTGCCTAAACATGTTTTTACCACTGAAAATCACCGGTGCGACGCCCTATTAAATATTTATATTATACTTTGTTTTCTACTTCTTTAGATTTTTTATGTAATTCAACGTGGTTTACATACGTTTACAAGGAGTAGGTGCTATTCCCAAACAGTCTTAAACGGTAAACTATATTACATTTGTTATTTATACTTAATAATTTAACGAAAATTAGTTTTTGATATTTAGATAGCAAACTATTATGTTTTTTATCGTTCAAACGAATCGATACTTTATCAAAAAGCGTGATTTAAGAAGCGCCGACCCGCTAGGTCTTGCTCTTCTTGCAAGAAAGTATTTTCCCAACCATAAACGGTATTGTACTACATCGGCGTTCTATTTTTAATATATTAATCTATCAAGCTTGACATCATAATATATTATTATACTGAATTACTCGTTGTTTTGTAATTAGTTGTTAAAATTATTTTAATGGACGTCCAGAGAAGATAAAAAAAAGGCGTTCATCGTGTGTTTTGGCCGCGATATTAATTATTTACATGAGCTGTCGGCCCCCGCCAAAACATCTGGAGCATGGAATTACTTCACTTGTACACACCAGACCAGACACTCGTGTCTAATAAACTTAAAAAAATATAGTATATACATTACAATGACCGTGTTACTACGGTACGAATTTTATCGTCCGAAGAAGGTTATTGTTATTATTTCCATTATTTATAAACGTCGATCGCTCGTGACAGGCGTGTATACAGGCCGTAATTAATATATTATACATACGCATATTGTACTTAATCCATTGAAAACCGATAAAAAATATCATCATGTCACTTGGCACTCGTGTCGCAGAATAAACAGAAAATAAAACTATCCAATTTTTACACGGGCTCTTAAGGAACGAGACAAAATCATGTCCGACATCTTGAATATGAATATGACCGAGCAAATGGGCAGTGCTGATAGATGTAGGGAAATTCTAATTTTTCGTTCATTCTGGCTGAACTGTTCACTAGACAAACGCGGAAAATGGCGACAACATTGTTGTCGGCGTACGACATTTAGTATATGAACAGTGTAGCCACAAGTCACAGAAAAATTGAAAACAATGAAGTATCCTAGTTTTGACATCACTGGCTAAAACTCAATATGTCTGACCGTTTTTTGATAAGCTCGAAGATTCCCTTCTGTTTATTCCGTGCTTGTGTCAGTCCCCGGACACTGATAAAAATTAACACGGGGAAGATAATTATCATACAAAAACGCGACGGCCATAGTCTTACAACGTCGCAGTGTGACCATTTTCAAAAAACTAAAAATAGAATACAATACGTACTATGTATTTATACAAAATATTATAACTAGTTTTAAACAAATATATTATATTAGCAATTAACATATTTAAGAGTTACAACTAATTTGAACAAATGTACATTGTAAAATACAAACCGTAGTATCATTATTTGGAACTGATAGTATGAAATAGATAAGAAAAGGTATAGTGAGGTCATTGTAAGGTCATTACAAAACAGCTGTAACTTTTTTGTTTACATTTAAGTGACTCTTCTGATTTTATTTATTCTGTGATTGTATTTCGTCAACGCCATCTGATTATAATATTATTCCAGATTAATAAAAAGTAATAAAAAATTCATTATACGAACTCAATAAAATAGCTGATGGTCGACGGTCGATACGGTTTTGTACGTATGCCAAACTGTTACAATTTATACAATTATAAATTTAAAAACGGCCGTTTTCAAAATACCTCACGAATTGGATCTACGGATTTTACCACAGCTGTCTTGCCGGTGTCGCCAAAAATCAAATTAAAAAAAACTGGCTAGGTTATAATTTTATTGAATGGCAATGGCATATTGGTTTTTTTTTTTTGGGGGGGGGGGGGTATTGAAGAACAAGAATTTTAGAGCTAACCGGAATTAAATGTTTAAATGATATGTAAATTATGTTAAAAGAACCATTATAGGTACTTTAAATTAAAATAAATAAATTAAAAACAAGGGTCCGGATGAAAGTACATTTTTACAATAGACAGTTGAGGTTTTTTTTTATTTCTAATTAAAAAAAGTTACCATTCTGTTTGTAGGTCGATTTAATGTTTTGAACCTAGAATTCCTATCACAACCCGGAAAAAACTTGTCAACTTATGTAAATTTTTTTATATTTTGTTTGGTAATAATATTGGTGGGAAAATATTGCAAAATAACGCCACTGATTGGACTTTTAAATCAGTTCTGTTACATCGTCGAAAAACACTGTACTTTCCAAGTAGTTTCTCACTGGATTAGGCTTTTTTTTTATTATCTACAAGACGGCTAAAAGGAGTTAGTTAATAAAATATCAGCAGAAATAAATGTGTTAAAATTACAATTTTTTACTTTGTTGAACTTTTATAATTTAAATAGAAGGTTTTTAATGAAATTTGACTCGTTTATACTTAAGACACCTATAGACACCTATACCTATATAAATATAGATTATATATATATATGTATATCTGTGTATAAATCAGAGTGAGCATAGAAATTGTCTAGTTTTTGCACCTTAATAACATTTATATATAACAACAAATTTGGATTGGTCGTAGATTATGTCAATAATATTATTATAGTTGGTTCTAACTTATTGATTACTAGATATTTTCACTTTCTATACTTTCTTTCACCTTATTCTATTGGAAGAAATGGATCTTTTGATCTATAAAATTACTGATGATATACCTGCATACGGTGTTCGGTTGATTGAGGTTCTTAATATTGTACATCGCAATAGACTATAGCGCTTAATCTCCATAGTATTGCAAAATATACCTCCGTTTTCCAAATTTTACTTATAAATTAAATACAGGTTTCTAATCGTTTTTAGTTTTATACTGTTATTGTTAGGTCGAGCCGAGTTATATATTTCGGTACATAACAAAACCGAATCACGTTCGGTTCAACGGAATCGGTCATATATATATATATATCTATATAAGTACATATTATAACTTGAAGTAAGTACATAATATATTTTACTCACCGTTGTCTTAATGCGCAGTGCTAGCGCGAGACGCGGTTGTCTACTGTTTACACATTATTGTTAGTGTTATTGTCTGACCTGACCAGTGTACTTCTGTAGTCAATCCAATAAGTATTGTGTACGGCCGACGGTGTATTTAAAATCGAAATCACGTACAAGTCCTCGCGGTCGATTCTTATTCTTGGGTATTATTATTTTCGTCTACAAAAGAAACTCGTTATAGGCCTCCACCTCGTGAACTATCAGGTAATCGTCGTCTGTGCCAACGCAGTGTACTCAATATTATATTACCAAGGTACTGTGCCCAGTACCTAACTTAACCCATGCAAGATACATCCCAAACCACCCCGGATTAAGGGGGAGGGCACGTCTCAGGGGGCCTACGGAAATTGGGGATCCATAGATTTGAAGAATCCAGCAATAAATTATATGAAAAATAATTAATATCGCTCTATAATTTTTTCTTTGCGGTATTATATCTAATATCCAGTGTGTCGAAGTGGATAAATTAGAGGTATGGAACTAATCGGGTTAATTCCTAAAGATTTAAAAAGAAAAAGATATTTTAAAAAAAAAGCCGTCAAGTGAATCGTGGATGTTATTAGCTTTGCAGGGTTTTTAGTTTCTTTTAAAGATAACTGGTAGAGATAACTAAACGTTTTTGGTTATCAATTTTCACGTGGCTTACCTTGTCTACGGATAACTGTTTAGTTTGAGTTTTTAATGATCGAACTTAAATATTTAAGATGAAAATATTAAATAAGACGGACGCTAGACCCTTATCAGCTGTATCTATTATCAGGAAATATTATCAGCTCTCTCTTATCACTGTTGTCTTATCAGCTGTTTCTTAGCACGGACACGCACGCAGACGGCAGGCAGAATAACTTCTACAGTGTCTAACCCTAAAGGTAAGTCTTTAAAGTGAAATGGATGTATTTTTACTTCTATAACCGATTTAGTTGTCGCTTAATAAAAATAGAATAAACAAACAAAAAGAAATTAGTTTACATCGCCATAGTTTATAAGAAGTACAAATTACAAAACAATTAATTTTTAAAAATTCAAGATGGATGGATAATTTTAAACAAAATAAGTGGGGAATGGAAAATACTTACTAAAA